GTAATACATGAGAGATAATACTCACTATTAGAGGACATGTCACCATAATTCATATATTTGGTTTCTTGTTATGATTGATAGTGGATAAATGGACAAATTGGGAGAATGCTAGCATTTTTATTTTTTTTTGGGAGTCAGGATCTCTATAGTCGTGGCCTAGGAACTTTTCTGAGTCTAGCAAGTTTAGCAAATTACATAGATCCACTCACACCTTCAACAATTTTGTTTCCTATTTTTTTTAACATAGTTTCTTAACTATAAGTGGCACATTTTTATGCTACATTTATCTATTATCTAACGTTTTGATTTTGTGCAGATATTCAAGTTCCCACAAAGGTCTCCACATTCTAAAATCTATAAATATACCACACATGTTCATCTATTTTAGGTTACTAAGCCTACTCTTCTCTTTAAAAAACAACATTATCATCTTTTAAGGAGTAAGAATTTAGAAAACTGAAACGAATCTGTACATGGTGCAAGTTGATTTGCAATAACTGAATGTTAGTTTTCTAATTTAATTGTGTTTAATTATGCATATACATAATCTGAACACGTGTATTTTCATATATTTATACCATTTAGATATCTCTGATAAAAACATTTTGAAAGTGTTTCCCTTTATCCTTGTAACTTAGACTAATGAAGTTCATCATTCATGATTGTTCATACAAAATCTCACCACTGTCTATGTTTAAGCACAACATAAGGATTGTGCTTACAGAATAAGAAAAAACTCTTACATATATCATTTAGCTTGAATTTCAACCGTTAAAAATTGAAAAAAAAAATTGAATTGCATAAAATTATTTTTAAATTAGTTTCATGTTTGAAACTCATTATAAATACAATTTAATTTGATTTGTAAGCAATTCTCATGTTTTTAGTATTAAAAATTGAATCGGTTTAATTAATTTTCTTATTTTTATATTTTTATTGTTATAATCTTTCACTAAAAAAAGTAATTTATTAGGTATGAGTAAGCGTAAAAATGAGTAAAATTAGATCATGTGTACACTAAACGGGTTTGATCTATTTACCTAAAATAAACTTATTTAAAGTTGACTTAAAGCTTTCAATTCGGATTACCCAATGCAACTCGAGCTAAGTCATATTGAATAGCAGATTAATGTGGGTGGATTAGAAGGAACTAGAATAAATCGAATGATAGTTTAAACTTGGCTTTTTTGGGATAGTCCGCTTCATGATACTTTTATTTGCCAAAAATATCTATCTTAATACGTATTAAAGATTAAAAAAAAATATAAATTAGTTCTTTCTTTCTTATAGTTGAATTTAATTTTTATAAACATTCTAAAATTATTTAAAAAATTTAAGTTACATAATTTATAATTTCATATCATATTTTACTTTTAAAAAAAAAACAAACAAACACACCACGTTTAAGTCTCAAATAAGTTCTAAAATTATGATTTTGAATTTATATATAGTGAAAAATGTGCTAAATATGATAATATATTAAAAAATAAAGAAATATTTTTATTGAATCCGTGTAGATAATTTATGTATCAAGATGTAAATATCAACTCATAAAAATATATAACTACAAGTAGTCCTTAGTTAATCTTTTTTAAACCGACATGAATTTTTGGCCAAAATAAAACAAGTTAAAAAGGTCCAATTTATTTAGACTTTTAATTTTAATACCTGAATTTTTATTTTCTCAAATATTTTTGAACTAATAAAAAGTAGGTTTATTATACCAATTTTGGATTAACTTAACATAATATAAATTAAAAGTTTAATTTGTCATAGTATCTTTTGAATAGATTCAAAACACTTATAAACTAATGAATTTAACTCTTACATATGCAAACTTATATTTATTTTAGTTGTTAGTTATGTGAATCATAAAATACTTTTTAAACTCCTTGCAATATGTTTTTTAATAACTATTTTTATAAAATGTAAGATTGACCCATGTAACTGTTGAATTATTTTATATCATTTTTATAATTATATGTATCAAATTTTATATAATTTAAACATTTTTAAGCATATTATCTAAAAGTTAATATTTATTTATATTTCAAAAATACAGTATACGTTAAAATATAGTAATGTGATGAATTATTTATTTATTTTATTTTTATAAAATTATATAAAGTTAATATATTTAATAAAAATTTTCAAATTAATGATTAGATTTTTAAAAATATATTACACATTAATGTATAGAAATGTGATGGGTTATCTATTTATTTTACTGTTGTATAAAATTTTATGAAGTTGATATATTTAATAAAGATTTTTAAATTAATAATTGAATTAATTAATTTTATATTTTATAAAAATTTATTACATAATATATTTACTCAAATTGATACTGTTTTGAACGAATATAATTCATACAAATATCTACATGAGAGAATTTAAACATCCTGCAAAAGTAAAATAGTATCAAGTATGAATTAGTTATTATTATTATTATTATTCTGGTCGTCATTATTGTTATATAAGTTCTTAGAAGTGTTGTATATTTACATTTAAATTGTAAATAAAATAGAGTTTGCAGTTTGAAAAGTAAAAGAGAAATATTAACAATATGCTTTATTGTTTGAGTTTATTAAATCAAAATAATTTAGTTAGTTATCTTTATTAAAAATATTTTGAGTATGTAATTAATTTTTATTTTATTGATATTCTTATTATAAATATTTTGTTGCAAATGAATATTATGATTTTATTTTTCACGCATTCTTTGGGCATAAGTGCCTCCATTATCACATTTTACTTTGACACATCGAAGACGTACGAGTTTTTCACTTAGAATTGTGGTCGTTGTTGGCTTTCTCATTCTCCCACATGCTACTACTAGTGCTCACTTGTAAGGTTCTCCCCGTAAAGCCCACCACCACCCTTCAGCTGTATAGAAATTGAATTAATAATACTATAAAGGAGGTGTTTGATGAATACTGTTGGACCTCTTTTAACATGGAAATTTTGAACTTGGAAAGGTTCGTTAACAAGACTGGTAGAACTTTCAAAATGATAATGCGTGAATGGCCAAAATTCTAGATAGTTGTGGAAAAAAAATATATATTTAATTAACACTCGTTAAGCTATAAACCACCCCATTGAGGAGGAAAAAACATTAAGAAGAAAAAAAAGTGATAAGCAAATAAAGAGACTCAGAGTAATCAGATATCAAAGTTGTTAAATTATGGTTTGCTCGTTCACCTTTTGACTTCACTGTAAACTAAATCTTATAATTTTATTTATCCAATAAACTACGATACATTAGTCTATTTCATGTTAACATCGAAAGACGTTAAACTACGATACAATAAACTACGATAGATCTGAATTTTCTCTTAGCTGTAACAATCACTAATTAATTTTCTGGACACTTGTCATTGATTTCTTCCGATATATATGGGATTGTCTTGAATTTGGTTGGTATGACGTTATCTCGATCATGATGTATGACAACAGTAATTAGGTAATAGAATACCACCGTGTGAGAAAAGGTAAATAGAATGAAAACTTACACATAAATAGCCCTTGAAACGAAACCATGCAGATGAACACGAAGAACTTGCACTCAAATTTTCTACCTCTTGGAAAGCTTTCCCTGCTCACAGGCTTCCATCAAGGCCGGTCAAATGTTTTCATGAATTCACCATAAACACTAAACAACGAAATAAGTAAAATAATCTGTGTTTTGGTGGTCAATACTCAATGGATGCGCATGCAAGTTCTATTTCGCTCTTTGTATTATTCCACAAGAAATATACGGATATTTCTTATTTTCTTTCTTTCGTACATGAGACACGTGCATTTTGGAATACTTGTCTATGGATTTTTTTTTTCAAATTCAATGTTTATAATAATGACGTGTTTAACTAATAAGTAAACACGTAATACATACTTTAGTTAATTAAAATATTTTATATATATATATATACGTGTGTGTAATTAAAATATTTAAAATATAATGTATGATTAAATAAAATTTTAAGATACATATATGAAAACGTAATCATAAAGGATATTACATAACTAAATTTCGTGACATTTGTTTTAAAACATTTTAATACATTTAATTTATATAAACATAAGTCATTATATTTATATTAACATGTTGAACGGTCTTTTATGAGCATAGAATTCATTTTTTATTAGTTCAATTAACATTTACCACTCAAGCCTCTTTAATTTGTTTTTTTACTTTTTGTCACTAGAGAATTTACTCTTTCAACCAATATAATATTTTTTAATTTAAAAAAAATCTCTTTAACGCGTTATCTTATTCGTATTTAAATAGTGTTTGACTCACCTTTCGACCAAAATGATTTATTGATGAAATATATAAAAACTAGATCATATAAATATCATTCAAATTTTCATCATACCTTATAAGAAATGGATTCAATACAAACAAGGGTAAAAATAATAATAAACTGGAGGCAGGGTGCATTTTGCTCAGAACTCTAAGCAAAATTTAAAAAATATATATATATACTTAATTTGTAAATGTTTTTTAGAAAATTTATATAAATGGTATGATGTGGAAAAAATAAATAAGTATATACATAGTCAAATATTCTGTACTATTAATATGAACAAAAAATGATAGCATAAAATATTGTAAAAAAAAAAAAAACTTACATCATATGGTACAAATATAGATTGCAATTACTTTTGTGAGCTTCTCTCATTTTATTTTTTTCAATTCTTTTTTGCTTTTGATATTCTTTACACTAAATCAGATATTTAATGTATATTTAATATCAATTCACTTCAAAGAAGAAAAAGAAATAAAAAAAAAATACGATAGGGATTTAACATAATAAAATCAAATATACGTACCACAACTTTTAAGATTAACATTAGAATTACTCGAGGTATAAACTCGCATGAATTCCAATACATCAAATACATAACATGAATTTATAGTCGTCACATAAATTCATGATTTTATTATTTATTTCTGATATAGAAGCAGTTTAAAGTGGTAGCAGCTAAACTGAAACAAGTTAGTAGGGCTTTTGGCCAACATAGTTGCCAGGGGGATCATAGTTGCAACCAATGAATGTGCCTCCATTGTTACATCTTACTTTGGCACATCCAAGACGAACAGAGTTTTTCCAAACCACCTGAGTGTAGTGCCTACACTCTCCACCAACACAAGTGTTAGAATCATGGTTATAGTTGGCTTTCTCATCCACCCACAGTTTAACTGCACCTGTGCCACTTAGGTCACCAGTGCTCATTGCAAGGTTCTCCCCGTAACGGTGATCACCTGAGTGGATCAGTTTACAATCACCTTTACGTTGGTTAGCATAGTTACTTGCAAAAGCAGCAACTGTGTCGTCCCAAACCAAATTTGGAACACCCACTTGTGACCTTGCAGCGTTGTGTGCATTCAGGTAGTCTGCCTTTGTGTCTTGAGCATAGGCTAGTTGACCCACTAGGACTAACCCCAACACATAGAATAAAGAAAATGAAACCTTGCTTAACCCCATTTTGATTAACATCTATTTCTTCAACTATAAAGACTATGAATGTGCTAATTGAGAGGTGTTTGATGAATGGTGGAGCACTTGTGCGGTATTTATAGGCATTTTAGCATGGGAGAACTTTAGTTAGAATAAGTTCATACGCAAGAATAGAAGAATTTTCTAAATCATAATCCGTGGATGACTTAAAAACTAGATTGCTTTGGCTGCAGTCAACCTCGCCAGTATGTAATTATTAACAATGTGGATTGAATTAATTATAGAGGACCAAGCTACTACATAATTTATAAACTTTTGCTTTCCTCATTTAATTACGGGCCTGCGAATTTTGGGTATTCATTACAGACTACTCAACAAATAAATTACTTAAGTTCGTGCATATTAATTTTAGGTAAATTCTATGGTACCCTAAATATTTTGTATGAGCACTGTATCTAAAAAATTTAGACCAATAAAAAAGAGACACAAAAAATTATTATATATAATTTATTTAAAATTATATTATTTATTATATAATTTTATTATATATATATATATATATATATTCAATTTTTTATTTTATTTTATATAAAATTTTAATATAATTTTTTTATTTTTTAAATAAAATATAATTTATATTTAAGTAATTTTGATTTATTAAATAAAAAATAATTATAACATAATATATTAATATAATAATTAAATATTAATAATAAAATTAAGAATATAAAAATATATTAATATAATATTATTACTTCTTTTTTAAATTTTAGTTAATTTAGTTTTAATTGCATCTTATTCTTATTTAAAAATTTAATTGTTCTCCAACTTGTTTAAATATAACAAATATAATAATTTATTATTATATAAATTTAATATAAATTATATTTTATTTAAAACTAAAAATTTATAAAAAATATATATAAAATAAAATAAAAAATTAAATATATAATAATAATATGTAGCAAATAATATAAATAATATAATTTTAAATAAATTATATATAATAATTTTTTTTAACTTGATACGTGTTTCCTTTTTATTAGTTTAAGTTTTTTTTAGGACGGTATCTATAAAAAAAAAATTTTAAGGTACCACAGTATACACCTTAATTTTATTCAGTTTAAAAAAAAAGAATTACTTTTCAAAATTTTAAAAATAAAAATATAAAAATTATTTAAAAAAATCATATATATGACCCTTGTTTAAAAAAGAATGGTATAATTTTTTATTACGCAAAGATTTGTCATAGTTAACCATATATTTTTCTCAGGATATTACCATACAGTTCTTGTAAGTATATTCGCATGGTTGTATGGGTGCATGCACTACATATTGTCGAATGATCGATTTAAGAATAATTTGTTCATTTACATCGAATCATATTGACATTTTTATACATGTAATGGATGAAATTCACTTAATTCTGTCTGCAAACTTGTCATTATTCCTGTGTTTATGGGATTTGGATTTCATCGGTATGACATAATCTCGATCACGATGGATGTGCGATTGTAAGAAAGAAGAGCTCGGCAACCGTTGCCCATGCCTCTATGATATATCATACCGCCGTGTAAGAAAAGGAAAGCGATCGAGAGAAAAAAAAAAAGGAAGAAGAAGAAGAAAAACTACCCATAACTGGCTTCAATCAAGGCGCGTCATGCGTTTCATGAATCAACGAGAAAAACGACCAACAACAGATTTATTACAACGTTATTTTTGCTTTCTTGGTCAATATATGAGCGCTCTAGACGTTATATGGCTGTTTACTTGTTCTATATATATACATGTTTTATCTGGCTGTTTATTAGTCCACTATAATCAGGATAATTAATTTTTCAGTACAATATACACCTATTTTATTTGTTGAATCACTCTTTTATTGTTATAGCTGAAGTTTAGTTTTCATAATTCAAAGAAAAATACTAGTAAATAGCTAAAATTAGGTTTTCTATGAAACTCTTCCAAATAAATTGGTGTTTTTATTGACTCGTATTTAATTGGAAGAATGATTTAGATATTTTTTATTAACACGAGTTTAGTTGGAAGGATGATTTGTATTTCTTTGACTTTTCCAATTATTATTTATAAATTTTAACAAATTCTAATTAAATTCTTCCATTTTTTTGTCCCTATAACATCATTTAATTAATTTAAATCATTTATATAAAATGATTTTTAAATATAATAAAATAGTCAAATTTATCAATTGCTATCACATTGATTAGTATCAATGACAATATTTAAAATATAATAATAAAAATATTACATTATTATATAGTAATTATGTTGAGTGATGCTGTACGAAATTAAGGAACTTAATTATTATTTCCTACCTATGAAACCTAATATTTTAAAATAAGTACCGTCCTACTCAGAATCTTCAAATGTATCAAGTGAGGGAATTTTTTAGAGAGTAAGATTTGTAAATGTTTACCATAAAATTATATTAAAAATAATTAAAATTAAAATCAATTAAATGCCCTATATATATATATATATACACACACATATAGTACTTACTGATTTTCATTTGTAATTATTCATTTTTGTTACTAAATTAATTATTATTAAGTTATAATAAAGATAAAAGTAGATTAGGTAGTATGTAGAAAGCCTATGATTTGATTCGCACTAAGCCTGATACAATGTATTTGTTAAATAAAATAGGTCAATTTAAAACAAATATTTGACTAAAACAGTGAGCTTATGAGTTTTGTTAATATTCTAATGGTGTTAATTAAGAAATTAAGAAAAAATATTAAAAATCATAACAAAAATGTATTAATATTATTTTCTTTTACAAAAATTATATATATCGAGAGAAGGGGGAGGGCGGAAGTTATTTTATTTAATAACAATTCAATCATTAAATTATAAATTTTGTAAACAATAAAGTTTATAAAAAAGTATACAAATTTAAAAATAATTGATAATTTATGAATAAATTTATTGCATTATAAATCAACATGTTACGTAATTTAATAGTTAAATTGATAAAATTAAATATTTATAAAAATATTAAACAAATGAGTGCAGAAGCACAAATACTTATTAGACCCTATCTCTCTCTGTATATAAATATACAAACAAAAAGTAAAAAAGGCACATGCAGCACACCAGTAAAGTCAATCCTCTGAAATATATTAGAGGCCATCAAAAGCTGTTTGAATAGGAGGCAGCAGTTGAACACTCAATTGCTCTAACACAAATTAAGCAGTAAATTTTGCCTATTAACCTGGATGGACCCCACCTTTTTTTTAATGTCTCCACTTAAGTATTTGAATTTATTATTATACAGTTCAACAAATTAATAATAAATAATTAATTTTCTAAACAAAGATTCTGAAGAACCAAATTAATAATAATATTCATCAAAAATTATGATTAGATTATATTGATAACATTTTCAAAAAAATTTGCTTCTAAATTTATTACTAATATTTTCAGAGTGTTTTTTTTAATCTTAACCTTTACAAATTGAGTTTAAATATATGAAATTTGTATTTTTTATTAAAACATATAATATTTATTATACTTTTATATTTCTAATATAATTTATATTTCTTTTGATAAAATTTTACCACTTGTAATTATTTATCCTCAATTTTTAAGCTAAGATTTACATTTTTTATATTTTAAAATGAGTATTTATTTTATCTTACATATTTAAGAATGACTTTATTAGGATATACTATGATATTTCTTATGTCAACATATATAAAATAATGTTATTAAATATTTTAATTTTTAAAATTTACATTATATAATTTTATATTTGTATTTTTTAATAAATATTTATTTTCATATTTTCAATTACAAATATATAATAATAATAATATTATTATTATTATTATTATTATCATTATTATTTAACTATATCTTTATTTTTGTCTAATTCTTAACTATTTTATATCCTTAATACAGACGAATAGAAGTATATCACAGTAAATATTTTATTGTCTTAGAAAATAACAATTTATATATAATAAAATTTTATTAAAATCATAAAATATATCATGAAATTAAATTTATTAATAATAAAAAATATATTTTAAATTAAAAATATTATTTATTATTTTTATTTTACATATTTAAAATTTATCAAACATATTATTTAAAAAAAATTAGGATTAATTAAAATATTTTTACCTTAGAGAATATATTAAAAAAATTTATTAATATTTTTATACTATATAATATCATATATAATATTAATTTATAAATTAAATTTTTAATGTCCCCGAGGATATGTAGTAAAAGTTTATGTGATAAAGATTTATTTAAAAATAAAAAAATATTGTCAATTTTAATTATTAATAACATTAAAATTTATAATTTTATTTAAAATATTATTTTTAATTCTATTTATAAAAGAATATTTAATTCATTAAAATTAAGTAATTATACGAATAAAGAGTGTTTTATTAACATAAATTTGACTATAAATAAATATGTAAAATTTATAGTTATTCTTAAATATATATTAAAAAGTCATATAAAAATTAATTTTTAATTATGTATTTTTAAATACATATTAAAAATATTAAATTTAGATATTTAATAAAAGAAAGATAAAATTTATTTGATGCATTATAAATTTTATTTGTGTTATTGTTCAATTAAAATTAAAATTTTATTTTAAAAGTTTACATAATAAAGTTAATATTAAAAATACATATATTACTAAAATAAAATTCTAAATTTAATTAAAAATAGTAAAAAAAATACTTATAAAATTATTATTTTTATTATTTTTTTAATTAAAGAAACTAGAAGCCCAACCAAACACAAGAATTAGGTTCTAACAGTTATAAAATTACTATTAAATTGTTTGCATTAAATAATTGAATAGTCCTATAGTAATTATAATCACTGTCGTTATTCTCTTGCATAGAGCTCATTCATTGCTTAGTCTGAAAAGTGCCCAAATATTAAATATTTTACGAGCCAATGTCATTAGTTAGTCAGCCGCAGGCTAAGAGAGAGAGAGAACATGGACCCGTGAACGCATTTTGGCATCTCATACAATAAAATAAAATATACTATGATAAAATAAAATTAGGGTAAAATTTAATGAACAATATTTGTTTTACGTCTAAGATAGGCTGTGAAAAAGGATGGAAAAAGAAGGAAATTAAAGGAAAAATAATAAATAATATAATAAAAAGAATAGAGATACAATAGAAATAATATATAAAATAAATGCAATAAACAAAGTAAAAAGGAAAAAACTCAAATTTGATTACAGATAACATACTCGAAATTCGTACTTATATAATAGAGGCACTATAAGATTATAGAAAATTGGATTATTAATCTGACGCAAATATAATTATTTAAAATAAGTATCAAATCTTTCTTATGATATATATTTTCCTTTTTACTAAGTGCATTTTATTTTATTTTTTAATTTTACCTGCGACGACGGTTAACATTAAATCGAATTTATCCTGGCTTATTATGCTGTACATTGTCCTTTCTGTTACTATTTGTCGTTTGGGTCAATTGTTATTTGTTGCATTTACAGTTAGAAGCAGTTACAAAACGCGTGACTGTCCATTGGAAGGTCCCGTTAATACTCTATGCGCGAATTACGATCAATGTTTTATGGAAAATATTGAGTGATAGGGAATTAATACTTTTAAATGTCTATTTTACAATTAGGAATAATTTTTTGAGGTGTTGTTTATATTGTTTATTGATTAAAATTAAAGTTTTATCTTAATAATTTAATAACATCAAATATAAATATTTTATTAAAATAAAATTCTAATTATAACTGATAAACAACATTGATAACTAAGAAAACAACGCTAATAGTACATAAAGAACGCTAGGTAAGTTTTGTCTCGTTCTTAATGACTGTTTAATAACACATGTTAAAAAATGTTAAAATTAAAGAATATATACTTTTTATGACCATTTAAAACATCTAATATGTTTTTCCCCGTTTATCAAATAACAAAATAAGAGCACACTAAACCACTTTCAACGATTTTTCTTGAACAATGGAAATATCATACTATATATCAATATTACACATGATTTCCAAAATTGAATTACTTAATAATGGCAGGAAATAACCAGGTACTGGTTGATGTTTTAACATAAGAAAAGAGAAAATCAATAAGGTCTTTCGCCTTCAATGTTTCCCGGTGGAGAATAGCTGCAAATGACGAAAACCCAGCCATTGTTACACTTAGCTCTAGCACACCCAAGATGAACGGAATCACGCCAAACAATTTGAGTGTAATGGAGGCACTCATCATGGACACAAGAGTTAGAGTGGTAGTCATAGTAAGGCTTCTCAGTGAGCCAAAACTTAACAGCATCTGAACCCCTCATTTCGCCATAACCCTCAGCAAGGTTCTCACCAAAAGGGCCCATAGAGTGTTGGAGATCACAGTCAGGGATTCTCTCATTCGCATATTTTTGAGCATAGGCTTCGAGGGTGTGGTTCCATGTGAGAGGACCAACACCAACCTCTGCACGAGCCTGGTTGTGCACCTCTAGAAAGTCTTGAGGGGAGTTTTGGGCTATGCAAATATGAGACAAGGTCGTACAAATGAACAAAAATACGGCTATGATCACATGGTATGGGGACCTCATTTTTTTTTCTCTCTTGTTTGGTTCTTTGTGAGGAATGAATGAATAAAATGTAGTTAAAGCTACGTATTTATAGCAAGAGTGGAGCACTTGGAGCCATTGAAACCGAAAGAAATATTTTTCTTTTTTCCTTAATCAATTAGCTAGTGGGTAGCATCTCCTCTTCCATACTTTTCTAGATTCCCTTAAAAGAAAGTGTTTTAACAACAATAGGCAGATTACATGACGATGACTTTTTTTCCCCCAAAGATTAATTCTCTGTATTCGGAATCAAAAGTTCAAACGGAATAGATTTATTTAAGGAGGAAGAAGTTTCTTTTGACATTTATTATTTCATTCATAAAATGTAACTTTACTTAAGATAAATCAATTCTTCACCCACTTGATCCAAGTGTAGGTAAATAGGCAAGAGAATGTTAAGATATTGCTAGAAAATGTAGTAAAATATTTTTATTTTATTATCTTAAAGAGTGTTATAAAATTGATAAAAAAATATTAATATACTTTTTTAACACACTTTTTAACATTCTTTAATTTATTTTTTAAATATCAAAATAACTTTTAATAAGTGATTTGTGAAATAAATACTTTAACACTTAAAAATATTTTTAAACATGTATTTAAATAAATATAATAAATATAATAATAAAAGTTTTTATTAAAAATATATCATTAAATATTATTAATGTATTAAATTCTATAAGATCTTGAAACTTTTAATAAAAATTTACTATATATTGACTCTTGAACACATTTTAAAAAAAATTTAAGAATAGACCAATAACAAAAAATCATTTATTACTTTTTTCTATTATACTCTTATCATATACAAAACTTTTAGATGATTTGTACATTTATTATAAAATAGATAATTAATTACTGCAAAGTAAAAAAATAAATGACAACTTACTGCACATTAATTCATAAAATATATTTATTTTTAATATTAAAAATAATAAATATAATTAAAAATAAAAAAATAAAAAAATTAATTATAAAAAAGAAGTATAAATTAGAAATTAAAAATAGTTTTAATATAAACTAAGATATTAAATAATTTTCTTAAATTGTGCCATGAACAACTTTAGGCGATAGATAAAAACAAGCAAATCATGTGTATCAAAAAATATATTATAAATAATATATTCAAATATTCTTATTAAAGAGTGTATATGGGATGAGTTTATCTTTATCCTTGTCCGACCCTGATTTTTTATATGGGCTTTTAAAGTTTAAATTTTACTCAATCAAAACTATATAAACATTGAGATAAAATTGAACTAACCTGATTTATAAATAAAATATACCAACATTAACATTATGTATACCAAAATTGTATGAATAATAAAATATAATATTAAAATTAAAATTTATTTTATAATATACATCTTAAAAGAAATAATATCAACATAAATATAATATTCTGATATATAGAATATTATTTATCAAATCAAGTCTTATTATCAATTCATAATTAAGAATATTTGAATTATATCTTCAACTCATCTTCAAAATAAGTTAAACCTAATTTTAAAAATTTCAATCCGTCAAAATTAGTATTAAGCTGGCACAGATTAATGGAATAAGTGGGATCTTGTATACCTGTACTTCTGATTACTTTAATCTGATGAAAATGATTAAAAAACAAAAAAAACAAAAATGAGCTGAAAAAAGTAAAATGGTTATTGGGGGAAAAGGTGAAAGGATAAGTTAGATTCAGAATACGAACAAAACGCGCGTGTGATTCTGCATGGCCACGACTGAAAATATGTTTTAAAAACATTATATTTTATTGTTCAAGACTAATACCCATGTTATCTCTTTTGTCTGGATTCTGTTCTATTGCAGATAATTTTATTTTTTTTACTAATTATTAATTGTTATACAACATTTATATCGTATTAAATTTAATTCTAAAGTCTTATTTTAGGAACAAAAATATAATAATTATAAATTCTCCTAATTATTTTTTATAATGATCTTCTTTATTACTATATGAAGAAGGTTTTAAATGTTTTCTTGTTATTTTATTGACTGTGTTTTTATTTTTTGGTACATATTTTTGACTATTTATTTTTGAAGCATTAGAAGAATTAATAAAAAGAAAGCATTTTAGAAATTTAATTTTTATAATATATATATATATATATATATTAAAAAATCATAATAAATATAATGCGCAGTTAGGATAAAGGAACGTGTATTTTGGTTTTTCCTTTAGTGTATGAATAGTATTTGCTTTTTTATGAAAAAATTTTAATAATTATAAATTTTTTTAATATTATTTATTTTTTAAATTTTATGAATTCTTAAAAAATTGAAATATAAATTTTATAAAAAAATAAAGTAAGAAAATTATCAGAAAGAATTATAAATTATTTAACATGCATTAAAACAAAAATTGTTTTATTAAATTTTTTTTGTATAGAAGATGAATAGTATTTAACAAATATTTAATTATAAAAAATAAAAATAATTTTAAAAAATAATTTTAAAAGGAAAATACAAATAAATAGCCCTAAATTTTTGTTTTATTTTATATCTTTGTGAAAAGATGGATACGGTGCATGCACGCTCAGGCCGCGAGAAGAAAATCATGAACCCTAATTGGTTCGAAGAAAATAAAATAAATATTTTAAAATTTATAATTAAATAAAATATATATTATTATGTGTAATTTTTTCTCATTTAAATAAATTTTAATGGAAATTGAAAAAAAGAAGGAAAATACAGTATAATTCAGCTTCCACCTTATTTTAATAAGTGTGCGTTTTCTTGATTCAAGAGATCAAATGAATGCTTAATGTGATCAAATTTTGTTAGGTTGGAATTTTTACGTGAAATATGATCCATTTTCATCATGTTGTAACTTAAAATTCAGCAAATTTTTACAGTCGCTTATAAAAAAAAATGGCTGCTTAGTCTACAATTTTTCAATTATTTTAACAATAATATATATTTAAGTCTACATCCAACAGTAAACTGATCATGTGACTAACGATTTTCTTTCTATTAAAATCACGACTTACTCGTTACATTATCATGTTAGCAACATGTAATTAATTTTTAAGATATTTATTTCGATTAAAAATATTACCAGAATATTAATTATAATAAGGTTTGAACTATTTTGTTTTATAAATCAATTTTTAGAAGAGAGTTAAACATATTAGAACTTATCCTATTTAAATATTAGATCACGTAATAATGTTTAATCATACAAGTGTTAAGTACTGAATATTTAATATTCAGTATGAAGCATAAAAAAGTGTGTTAATATATCTCATGTCATATAAAAACGTAATTAAAATACTCTTTGTAAGGTTTCACAAAAATGGATTAATATTTAGAAGGAAGGTGAGGAGGAAAAAGCACCGCTCTAATTCTAAGTTACATGTTTAATCTAAATTTATAAAAAATAATTTTAATATAAATTAGATTAATGATATTTTATTTTGTTTAGAGTTCTAACATATTAGAATATTTTTTATAATCTAAATTTGTTAAAAAAAAATAGAAACAAGTTTAATATAGTTTTATACGTGATGTGATATGAAAGCAGCGATATTGTGTGGGGGAGGGACCCAAGATTTCACATGCTTCTCCATGACTTCTGGCCATTAATGTCGGAAGCATAAGATCAGTGATATAGACGTGAACATTTGGCGTGCCTGATGTCGTAAGGTCTTGTTAACTTTCTTGTTCTCATTTTGCTTTCGGTTTAAATTGGAGGTTTAAGGTATTTTATCATGATAAGAATATAAAGCGTACAAGTTTTCAAATGGATTTTAAAACAAACAAGCCATTTAAATTTAAAGGCTTATAAAATTGTTTTCCTTTGATCGACAATATACTTTTGAATGCCAGTGCAGAAAAATAATATAGAAGAAACTAAAGATGTCCAATTCCTCTCTCCCAGTCGTGTCTAGGCTAAAATTAATACCTCGCCCAATAAAAATTGTCTTAGAAGAAATGAAGTGAATGTGTTTAAGTTACAATTCAAGTCGTTACAAAACAAAAATCACATATGAATGGAAAAAACAATTGTTCGTCTTTGAGCTTGTCGTCATAAAGTTTTTATTTAACAAAATAAATTAATAAAATTAATATTTTTGTCCTCCAATTCAATAGTTAAATTTAATTTTGTTCTCTTTTAATTTTATTCATATTGATATTCTAATCTTTTAAAATGTTTTAAATCAATTTTTTTAACATTAATTCTACTAATATATATTTTTTAGAGTTCATAATCTTTTATTTTTTTTTAGGTCCATATATGTCATGACCCAAAAATGAACTCATAACTAGTGCACATTAGGTTACTTAAAAATACCACTTAGACACCTAAGCATACTTAAAAACTCACACACATGAGATAATAAATCTTTGCAATTAAATAATGTGAAAATTTTGTTAAAATTTTAGTAGAGTTTTCTATATATTTTTATTATTTTAAAATATAATAACCTATCAAGATTGATTTATAACTCAACAAAAAGTAATCAAAATCTAACATATCATAATATCAAAACTAGAACATATAATATATATCGAAAATAAAAGTCTAAGCCTTAAACAACTACAGAATGTCTAAAATATAACAAAACAAAAAGATAAATGTTAAGGTCATTAAAATAATAGAGGTCTATAATAGAGATTTTATTAGGATGGACTGATATTTTCAATAACTTGCAACTTCGCTAATGTAAATATTAAATCAATAGGAGATACACCAATTTAATGAAGACATAATAACTATAATGAACAAAAAAAAGAAACAAATATCACACAAGTAGTTTGCACTCATATAACTTACTTAAAGCACATCATTTTAATGAAAATTCATTATAGTTACACCATTAAGTGTAACACTCTGAATTTGTAATCTATTTTTGTTTATTAATATAATTGTGAAATTCTTGTTGAATGAGCATTTTGATTTATATGGTGTTATGAGTATGTGGATAAGGTTGAATTGTATATTTGATGTATATCATAATGTAATTATGGGTGTGTATGTGTGATG